GTTTCCTAGGTAATCATATATAGTTAATTTGCATTTTGACAATTCAAAGAGAGCATTTGCGCTTACTCCAAGGATCAAGGTAAGTGTTTTCATCAAGATATATTGGATCTTTAACGTTGTTTTCAAATACTGTACTTGGAATGTGGTTTCGTTAGACTGTACTTGAAGTATAATCTAACGAAACTGCATTTAGGGGCTAAATAGAGAGAGAGAGAGAGTGATTCACCGTACAGTTGTAAATTTAGAAAAATTAAACATTTCTGAACCTTGCTGATTAGTTTCTGGCTGTGTTGGTGTATTCCTTATGCAATTTTTATTTTTACTAAATCACAATGATAAAAATAAAAAAATAAAAAATTTTATTCTCACAAAAAAACGAGTTTTCTTTGTGTCGTTGTCGTGTATGCAAAGTTTGTGCTTAATGATATCATTTTTTTACAAACATTTCACATAAAAATTGTATTACATAGTTTTGTAGATGCCGTTGAAGTTTAAACTCAATCAACTCAATAATACCAACCTTACATTTAGTGTTTACATTAGTTCCATCACCGCTAAGCACTTTAAAATCATCAAAAATGATATAATTTTTTTTAGAACCGTATAGAATTTGAGATTTTAATGCTTCAGCTGATTTGTTAAAAAAAAAGAGTCTTTTTTTATCACTATGTTTATCTTTTTATTGAAAATACTGTCATTTTTACCGACAAAGTATAAAGTCTTAACTTGAACTTTACTAACTTTCAAGATAACATTGGCTTTCAAATGTTCACGCTTTATCTTGCTTCTGTCAATAACTTTGTTTTGTCACCATGTGATATATTATCTTCAAGCTGATGTAAAAGGTGTAGCGTAAATGATAGAATCTAGTGGTACTGCATTATTAAGGTTTGAGCTATGTTTACTTTGAATACTCTGCAGGTTTTTCTACTTTGTCTATTGATTCAATAGCCAATTTTAAGTTCGCTTATTGCATCTTCTTTTTTGCTTTGCTCAAAAAAGTTAACAACTCTTTTTGTCAAAACGGTAAATAATGACATATTGTTTATGTTGCTGTTTAAGCTGCTTTATTCTTTTTTCTATTTCTTCCAGAAATTTAATGTATAGTTGTAATATATATTTAGCTGTATATTATTTGAAAAATGATATGTAGTATAACTTGCTTACATTTTCTCATAAATACACCATACGCTGCATCGCATCTAGTCCTGTTTGCAGTTGCACCTCAGAGAGTGGTTTTGAATACCCAAATAATAAATGATCTGTTTTATATCTTAACTTTCTATTTACTGAAATATGATTAGTGAAGTATTAAAATAGTATAGTAATTTCATAGTATTAATAAGTATTGCAAAGTATTAAGCTGTACATATAACATTTAGAAAATATGTTTATACATCTTTTTAGAAGTTGATGGCATATTATATATTATTGCGTAAACAAAGATCCTCTCGAATCAGTGTAACAAAGAGACACTAAGTTTTTACCTCATCTCAAGCCCCTAAATTATCACCAAAAACTAGCCGCAATAAACATTCAATCGTTTAAGGATAGAAGGTTTAGGGATGACCTTAAACAGTTTTTGAAACAATACTACGGCATTAACCAGGTTAACCTTTGTAAACCAAGCTCACTAGCTCCAGCACTAAACGTACTAGGACAAGCCAACGGTCTCCGTGGCCAAAGTCATCGTCTTAAACGTCAAGCAGTAGCAAACTGATTACAAAATGAATTCTTTCTCTGTAATTGCATCGTACCTGACTGGAACATCCTTCCAAACTCTATCGTATCTGTCGCGTCAGTTAACGGCTTTAAAAATCAACATGACTTAATTTTTCCAAAACTTTTAACTAAAAACAAAAAGAATTGACATTTATCATAGCGGGACTTTGTTAGTTGCACAGCTTGCAAATATTTGCTATAATTTATGTATTTGCTATAATTTATGTATATAATATTATTAACTACGTAACCATTTAGCAAAGCATATTTACAAGACATAAAAAGTAAAAATGCTATAGGTCCATTATCAAGACAATTTGCAATCCAGTTGCATCTTACTGTTTTTACAGTTTTTTTAGTCGCATGTTGCTGTTTTGGCTTTTAATAATGCTTATTGTGCCAGTTATGTCCAATTATATATAATTTTTCAATAAATAGTAAACATGTATGAGGGTTATGATTTTTTTAACTTTTGTCACAGTTTTTATTGACCATAGTTTTAAAACCTGAGAAATTGATAGTTATACCTTATTAAAATTTCATAGTAATATTGAATATTGTTTTAAATGTCACCCCCACCCACCTATCCACAATTAAGTTATGCTGTAAAAATATTATTGTTTTTATGACTATTATGGAAGTACTTTATTTTTAAATTCGCTATAAAACATAATCAAGCATAAAACACACCTTAGTAAAAACTATTTCATTTGCTTGTGTAATATTTTGGTCTGAAATGAAATATTACACAAATACAGAAAATAATTAATATTAATGCGTTTTATGTTTTGCCCATTTCTTTTGTCTTTACCGATTTCAATGTCTTTTTTAATTTTATATTCGTACCGCAAATTTTTAAAACTATTTTAATTAAAATAATATTGAAACATAAAACATTACTAACATATATTATCCATGCATTTTAGATTTTTCTAATATATCAAATAAATTTAGCAAAACTGTTTTTGACAAATATTCAAGAGTATTGACAAAAAATTTAGTTTCGTTTTAAAAACGTATAACATCAAGAATTGGTCTACATTTTATTGAAAAACCATTGTTCAAATTTTTTTCCAATAGCAATATAAAATTGTATCAGAGTCATAAGTTTTATAAGAAATACATTGTATCTTTTAGAGCAGCTAATCTTACATTGTATCTCTTAGAGCAGCTAATCTTACATTGTATCTCTTAGAGCAGCTAATCACGAATTATTTGTTTGTTCGAATAACAATCCTACAATTCTAGTTAATAAAATTTCGTGACGTCGACCAGGTGGTACGCTATTATCCAGAAGGACCAGCAATCTTATCTAACCAAACCCACTGGAAAGCTGATTTTAACTCACTGCATATTATTAGGTTGTTCCTCTAACTTTATTCACAGCACATAAATCTTTTAGTTTATTTAACTCATTATTTAGAAATTTTTTAAAATAACTCATCCATCTTGTTTTTACATTTATTGTAAATATTTTCAGAACTTTTAGATGCAGCTTTCACTTAAAATGTTCTTATTTTTCTACATTTTTTTTGCCATTTTTTTACAATTCTTAAGACTGAATTTCTTTTCTCCTCTAAATCTAGCCAGCACCAAAACAAATAACTTCTGCTCATCTGACTGAGCTTTGTTTAGTTTTGCCATGACAGATTGTATCCTCGTCATTCTCGAACATCACCGATCTTTCATTAAATTTTTTTTCTACAGTTGTACTTTTGCATTTCGCCACCCGTAATCAATTGTCAAAAAAAAACTTTTTGTTCTTCTGCATACTAGGTAATTCTAGAGAGCTTATCAATACATTTTTACATATACTTTCCACATTTCTTTCTGACATGACTTCTGCTTTTTCTTGAATTTTCTTTGTATAATTTCCTAAACCTGCATCTATTTGCAATAATCTATTTTATTTTTTCAGACTTTCCGCAGATTTTTTTACCTTAATTTTTAATACTAGAAATAACAAACTTGCGAAATGCTTCACTTTGGTCTTTTTTTTTACTCTTTTTACTTTACTTTTCTTCTTACTTCTTACGTTATTTACTCTCTATATTACTTTATATGCACTAATAAACAAAATAATCTTAATCTTTTTATTTTTTTTAAACATTTAAATATTTAGTTGAAATTAATTAAAAAAAAAATTAATTTAATGAAATTAATTTCTGTTCTTTAGAATGTCCGCAATGAAGCATGTTAATTCAACTCCTTAAAAAAACAAAGTTATGTTGTCAACTTTTAATAAATGGCGATATTTCATTGTTGTTATTTAATATCAAAGTTGCAGTAACATATTTTTTCCAGCATAAATTAATATGTTTATATAAATTTTATACTATGGTGAAACGAAACCCTTATAGTCTAATTTTTGACAAATGAAGATTTATGAGATTTTTTTAAAGATTGAAAATTTTTATAGCTTGAATACAGGGAAAGTTCTTATTAGTTTTTTATATAATTTTTAATTTTGTTTGTTTTGAGAGTTTTGCATTACTGATGTTACTTTTTAGTTGATGAAAAGTAAAATTTAAGAAACACGTCTTAGCAAGCTTGGGATACGGTGGAATATCAGATACTTTGAAATTTTAATATTTAGTCAATTCAAAACATTTACCATTCCTTAATTTTATCATTTTCAGGGATGAAAACCTTATGTATAATATTCCAATTAAATATCCATAAACTTTGCTGTCCAATATCTCAAAAATTAATATTTTTTTTTTAAAAATCATTGAATTGAGTAACTAGTATTATTAAGAACAGCATCTTAATTACTTTTAACAATCGTTTCAAATACACTGGATTTTATATTTATTCACTCCCCAGTAAACACACGACGTCTAAAAGACGTCTAAAAAACGTCTTTTAGACGTCTAGACGTCTTATAGACGTTTTTTAGGCGTCTTTTAAACGTCGTGTGTTTACTGGGTCAGTTTATTCCCTCAAATAACTCAAACACGCTTGATTTCTTATTTATACAATTACAAAATTCCGCAATGACGATGATCACCCAAATATGTTATATGAGAAAGTTTTCCTATACAGCACAGTATAACTAAAGTCAACAAAAAAAAAAAAAAACCTTAAAAACCCGCCTAAATTCACAAAGACGGTAATACAACAAATATACTTTTAATTAATTGAAGGCTGTAACTTAACTGTTTTTTGTAAATTAACTGTTTATAAAACAATTAATACAAATACCAAAAAACCCTGGATCAGCACCTGGCTACAAATGTTAAAATTCAAAATCTAAAAATGAAAAGTTTTTTACTTACTAAACTCATCCATGATTGTATCCAATTAATAACCTGGAAAATTAAATATATCAATATATATAGAATACATATTGCTTGTAAAAAAAATAAATAATAAAAATGATAATAAAAAAATAATAATAATAGAAAATCTAAATAAAACAAGCCTTAAAAATGGGATATTAAAAAAAGGAAATTGCTGCCTAAATAATAATATACCTAAATATTTTACTGTTTTTGTTTTCTTATTTTTAGGTTAGTTAGTTGTTTTTCACTACCAAAATAGATTTTCAATTATTATTTATGTGCCCAAGAAGTCCTTACGGTCTTATCATAGAGTACCGCGCAGAGCATCGCGGAAGAGCATTTTATTAGAAGCTCACGCCTCCTTTCTAAGCAATGTCGCAATAATTACCCAGAGGTGAGGTTTGAACCACGGATATCTTTTTTCTGAGGCAAGTGCGCTAACACTGAGTCACGGCTGCTCTAGACACAATAAATTAAAACAAGTCGAGGAAAAAAGCAGATAAGAGTATTACAAAAACAAAAACTTTTTTGTTTTCGTAATATTGGCGACTTTTTTTAGTCACGAAAATAAAAATATATTTTGATATACAACTTTCGCAACTTTTTTTAGTCAGCATAATAAGAAAATACTTTATAATTTGCGCCACAAACATTGACAACTTATCAAATTTGTTTTTCACTTATTTTTGCTGAACTTTACTGTTTTTACCAATGCACAGGAAAGCAAGAAAACTACTCTGGAGTCTCTAATGAAATAAAAAAGGGGGAGAGACACTTATTAACTTTTGAAAAATTTTCCTACCCACCCCAAGCTTGTTAACACCCCCTCCCCCTGTTTAATAATTTTTACTTGTTAACAAAATAAAAAAAAAATCAGTATCATATTATCAGCTGCTAGAAAATGCATAATTTTACCGCAAACCACGCTAGATAGTTTTATGCGTGTATATATATATATATATATATATATATATATATATATATATATATATATATATATATATATATATATATATATATATATATTAAGCCACTACCAAGTTAAAGTCAATACTCGGCTCACTTTGGGAAATGTTCTATTTATATTCAATAAAATTATTATCAATTTAAAAAATTTCAAAAATTTGTCATTTTTTTGGGAAAAACAAAACAAGTGATATTTTTATGGTTCCATTCAATTATTGCGAAATTGGACAGAACGACACATAAAATGTTATTTTCGCGTCATAAATTGGTACAAAAACAACAAGTTTGCCATTTTTAAATGCGTTTCCATTTTTTCTGTTGGGAAAAAGTTACTTTTTACAATGTTTTAAGATATAAAATATTATATAAAATCTAACATAGATAAAGTATAGAAATATTAGCTATATATTTAGCTTCTGTATTTTATAGTATTTTCACTTGATATTATCTTATATAACAAGTTTATAAAAAATCTTTTTCAGACTGAATTTAATTATTAAAAATGAATAACAAATGTGGATCTGGGCGACCACCAAGAAAAAGAACACATAATATTATAATTAGACATCAAAGTGAAAGATATGCTGGACAACCAAATGAACTACCTGTTAGTGACCTCCCAACATATAAACAGATTATTCAATATGCCTATAAGGTCGAAAATGAAATAACTACAACTGAAAAAATTGACTCTCCAGCCGTAGTTTTAAAAGTGAGTAAAGAAATTTTAAAAATTTGGAAAAACGTTAATCCAAATCTTCCACTAATGAAAGAGAAACCTCTAAGAAATAAGGTACAAAGAACATTTCAAAAAGTAATTGCAGCTGAACGATCTAAAGCTTCAAAACATAAAAATAGTGTTTGTTGGTTGGAAAATAACCTTTTAAAGTTATTTGATATATCAGCATGCAGATGTGAACTTCCTCTTTTAAATTGTGATGACAGGTTTGAAGTTATACATTTTTAAAAAACCACAATATTAAACAATTTTGTTTAAACAAATTTGTGACTAAACTGCCATATATTTTACTGTATATATTACTGTATATTACCCTTTAGAAATGTTCGATGCAAGGGTTGCTCTAACAAGCACTATGTATGTCTCTGTGAAAAAAGTAAACAGGTTAATTTGAATTTTTTTTGTATTATTATTTTTTTAATTTATGCTTAATAATATTTTAAACTTTCTACAAGTTATTAAATGTATATTTTTTTAAAATTAAGGTTCCAGTTCTAGAACGAGAGTATTTAAAGGACCAGAAAGTTAAGCAAGGGCCCTTTGGAACCTGGCAGATAGGCCGAATTGATAAGAAAGAAACAGCCATGACTGCAAGAAAAAGAAATAAGGAGAAAATTAATATGAAAAGTGACACAACACTCCATTCAGATAATGATTATATTAGTGAAACTGATATGGAAATAGATAACGATGATGATTATAAAAAGCAGAATTGTGAGTTTTTTGCAAAACCACTGTGTGAAAAAAATTACACAGATTTAACTAACATTGCCAAACCTGCCATTAGGTTCCAAGTTAGTGATGCTGCAACATCTGCCATAGTAACTGCTACCTTGATAGACTATCAAATTATAACTCAGAATGACAGATCACAAATTATCACTGAAAAAAAGATATTTGACACTAAAAAGCGTGTTTCAACCATGTTTAGTGAAAAACACTGTTCAGAAGTTTTCCATTTGAAAGTCATTGGAGTAGATAGTAAAAAAGACAAAAATACATTAGCACATATATTAGGATATGATCATAATGCTGAACCTATTGTTAATAGAACAGTAAAAGATGAACATCACTTAACTTTTACTGCAGAAAGTGGACCTTTTTTTAAAAAATATTTAAATCATATTGAAATAAAAAATGGAACAGGAGTTACAATGGCAACCGAAACACTAAAAATACTTGAAAAATACAACAGCATTAGTAGTTTGGAAGCCATTGTTCTTGATAATACTTCTGCTAATACCGGTGTAGATAATGGCTTAGTTACGACATTAGAAAAGCTTTTAAATCGAGGAATCCATTTAATAGGATGTGTACTTCATCAAAACGAGTTACCACTTCGCCATGTCATAGCTGAAGTAGATGGTAAAAGTAACGATCCAAAGAAATATAAGGGCCCTATTGGTCAAAAAGCTTCTGCAGATGATTTGCATGATTTACCAATAGTTGATTTTATTCCAATTCAATCAGAGATTGATTCATATGTAAACTCTAATATTTTATCTGATCTTAGCACAGATCAACGTAAACTTTATGAATACTGTATTGGAATATCTAGAGGTTTTATATCCCCAAAATATTCAATGAAAAAACCAGGACCTGTTTACCATGCCAGATGGCTAACTCTAGCTTTAAGGATAATGATGGTTTATGCGAGAGTGAAGAATCCTACAGATGAGTTGTGCATAATTACAAAGTATATTGTCCAAGTATATTGCCCCATGTGGTTTGCCCATAAAAAGTCTGGTCTTTATAAAGATGCTCCAAGACTTCTTCATAAAACAATAGAGCTTGTTAAAAATCAAACAGACAATGTACAACAAATTGTTTTTCAAAATCTTCAAGGAAACTCTTATTGCTGTCTTCAAGAAAACTTTTTATATTCTATGTTGCAAGATGATGAAAAAGATATAAGAGCTCAAGCTATTAAGCAAATTTTGTACATAAGGCATTCAAGAGAAGTAAATCCTGAAGTTAAACCAAAAATCAAAGCAAAATCAATTATGCCTATTAACTTTAACGCTGATACATGGAGTGGTTTAGTTGATGTTTCTTTAATTGAGGTCGAACCTCCAACTTCTATCCTAATTTCATCATTTGAATTAGAGAATGCTTTGCAAACATCTAAAAAGCCTATTCTTACAGATTTACCTAACAATTCACAATCAGTGGAAAGGTCTGTGAAACTTGTATCAGAGGCATCAAAGATAGTTTATGGTCAAATAAAGAGACACAACTTTATCTTAACTAAAAATCAAAGCAGAGCAGAAAATAAATGTAGTTTATCTAAAACTGATTACTTTATACCTTTTTCTTGAAAAATGTTTTTTTTTAAATTTGGTTTACATCCCTATGTCAAAAGGCATCCTTGACTTGACTACTGTCAAGAGTTATTTTAATTGCAAGACTCTCAACCCTTAACTATGGAATTACCCTTTCGCAGAGAAACATGTTGAACGCGGTAATTCCAGAAGCATCAGGTTGGCTTGAGCCAGAAGCTTTACTTATAAGGCGAGCTCTTTACCACAAGTCTATTACAGAACGTTTATTACTGTGTTATTAAAGTAAATTACGACGCATAAAATATTTAAGATCAGTCGCGTAGGAAGGTCAAGAAAGTTGAGGGTTGAAACGGATAGAAACAGGGGCTAAGGCAGCCGTAATCGGAATTTGAGTAGGTCTTTACATAGTTAGGGGGGGTTGCTTTCTCCTCCCCCTGTTCCTACACTAGTGTTTAAGATTATGTGGTAAATACTCATTCCATTATATTCAAGTATTCTAATGGAAAGAATATTTGTATTAAAGTTAGTAATAAAGTATATAAATAATAAAAATGCCAGAAAAATGAATGTTTCATGAAAAACAAGAAAATACTTTAAAACTTTAAAACCGTTTCCCAAAATTACCCTTACTCAAATCGATCTGAAATTTTTAGGATAGTCTTAAAATGGTATGTACAACAATTCCCAAAGTGAGCCAATATGATCTGAGAAAAAAAGTATATTTTGGTAGTGGCTTAATATATATATATATATATATATATATATATATATATATATATATATATATATATATATATATATATATATATATATATATATATATATATATATATATATATATATATATATATTTTGAAAGATGACATCTTGTATGAGAGTATATTATATATTATTTTAAAACATCAAGAAATACAGTTTCTCTCAATACTAATAATTTTATTTTGTAAGAAATTTTCGCTGGGTTATGGATACCAGCATCATCAGCTTGTAAAATATTAAAATAATTTTTTAATCGTTATAGTTTATATAAAAGTGT